TCATACAACATACAATTATTTATTTTTTTGTCACTCTGAATGGACACCAGACGGGATGCTTCAACTTCTTGTTCCATCATGTCTGGGTGGCCCAGGCAGTGCATCACTGAAGCTTATGATCTCAAGATCTCATCCCTTTCTGTAAAGTTGCACTTGCCCTTGCTCCTGCCTTTTGAGGGACACAGGCCCTGTCCCAATGTGTTTATAATCATGCTGTCTATCCTGCTTGCTACTAAACAGAGGAATGTTCATAGTAAAAGGGGTTATCCTGGGCTAGCCTACTGTTTTTCTTTTGCCGGTGTCCTGTCTTCCTGTAGGCGAAAGACTTTCTGTGCCCCTTTATGGGGCTATCATTTCTCTGAGGCTCAGTTTTAGTTTTGCCCTTTGTGTGAAGGTCAGATTGCTTTTTATTTTGGGTTTTAGAAATTAGCAGACACTGTATAATTCTGTATGATAGCTCAAAATTGCTATCATTTGAACTTGTGTGAAATCAGCATCTTTCAGTTGTACATTGGCTATGCTTGAAGTCATTTTGTGCAACAGCTCATTTGGTTTAATTTTAATAATTTGTTTATTTAAATTTTAAAAGAAAAAAAACTTACTTGGTCCACCTCAATCTTTGTACTTCTCTGGGTGAACATAATTTAGCGAATTGTACAAGTGTAGCCACTCCACATAACCTAATACAAAATACACTTTTATATTAAAATTCCATTAAGACTGTTTACTGTATTTGCTAGGAAAGTAGCCAATACTATACTGTCTGTTACATTTATATTTGGCCTGTGTAAAGGAATAATTATTTCCCCATTCTGTAAAAACAGTGTCCATAGCACCCAGTCACAAATCTTAATCCATTGGTCTGCCAAAGTGTAAACTGGGGAAAGGTAGCGGACTTGTATGACTACATAACTACGTATTACTTCTTTTTGTACCAAGTTAAATAGTGTTGTATTTTTGTTGTATTTTAGTATAACTTCACAGGGCACCTGCCCTCATTTATTAAAGGGTTGAAATCAATATGTCAATTAACTAAATAGATATACAAACATCTACAGGGCTTGAAAAATTCCCTCGTCCTCTCGTCTGTGACGAGAAGACGCCAGAGCCAGATGAGTAGCTTAAACGGCCGCCCGGGAGATTTATGTTCAAGTGATCGGGTGTCTCTAGAGATGCACGATCGCCTGTATTAGCTGCGGTTTTAATTTAAAAAAAAATGTAAGAAGCATAATTGTTTTTTTTTTTTAAATGTAAGTCCCCCCACATACACATGCAAACATGCGTCGGGTGCGCCTACGTGTGAAAACGACGATTGTGCCGCACATGTTGCAGATCACCGCGAACATCGGAGTGAGAGCAATAATTTTAGGGCCATTAATCGCTGATAACGCTAAAATGATGAGCAGTAAAAGCTTTTAAAGCATCGCCTATGGCCGGTTTTCGGTGTGGTCAGATTTTGCGTGCGCACGCAATTTTAAGGCTTGACATATTTGGTGTCTATTTACCCGACGTGACCCCATCTTTCATATTTTAACAAAAATATGGGTAAGAATAAATGTTTTTTTAACATAACGTAGGGAAAACATTTATTTTCATTATATAGTAAAAAATAACTC